TTTAAAATAATTTAAGCATGTGATTAGCCAAGGTGATTAGGCTTATGTGAATTAAACTATTATATTATGCATGTAAATGAATTAAAATGCATATAAAAACATGTGTGATGTTTTCAATGGCCAAAAATGGAATATATTGATTTTTTGGGACTTATTACACGTTGTGTTTGAGGTTTCGGAGTAATCAAAGTCGGTTCGGGCGGTCAACGAGCCGTTGACCACATGTGGGACAGTGGACCGGAAAAGGTTTGGTCACTGCCAGCCCTGTCCGGCAGAAAAATACATGAACCAGCTTGGGCCAGGGACTGAACCAGCGCCAGTTTGGCTACGGGTTGAAATACCAGTTTGGTCCCGTTTATTCCGGATTGACCTATTTGCATGGTTTTTGCATGGATTGTTATGCTTAGGCTATAAGACTTGGTTTAGTCTTGTATATTGATTATGATATAGACCGTATCTAGGTATGATATGTGCTAGATCATAGGATATGGTGGAGTACCCAATGATGAGATTGTCCTCAAAACTCAGAATAGAATTGGTGGAGTACCCAAGGATGAGATTGTCCTCAAAACTCGGAATTTAATTAGTGGAGTACTCAAGGTCAGGATTGTCCTAAAAACTTGGTATATAATTGGTGAACTACCCATGGAAATGATTAGTCCTCAAAACTCATAGAATATGGGTTAGTAAGTTAGGACCGGACGATGTCCTTAAATTACTTGATTGAACAAGGAGTAGTTCTATACACTCGTAAGTATTTGTGTGGGTTTGGGATTTATAAGTCAAGAACTATGACTACTATAAATTTTCCAAGTAAACGAATGACCTACGGGTCAGGTATTTTCCAAGTGCATATATTTATATGTATTTGACGAGTTGGGGGGGGGGGGGGGGGCTATAATTTATGTATCACCCTATTTTTGAATCTTGTACTTAAAACATTAGTTATTGTACATTTAACCTGTTTCTCGCCAGGACAAGTGTACTTACCCCTTCGGGGGCTCACCATTTTCAGGTTGAAGCTAGAGCTTGCTACTTGCACCTTTGCACGGGTGAGGTGAAGTGATCTCGAGGAAGACGTGGTTCGTGCTTCCTTTATTGATTTGAAACTGCAAACTATGCTCATGGATATTTTTTTTGAAAACTTTGTTTTGGGCCTACAAGCCACGTTTTGCCACATGTGGCCCCTAATTCACGAATATTTCTGCTATTCATTCAATTTAAAGTATGGTGTCGTTATATATGTTTACTTACTGAGTATGGTATGAACTATGTTCATGGACGCCGTGTACAATCGAGTGAGAGTGACCTACGAGTGACATCACTTGACTGTGCGGCGGTTGTACACCAGCCTAAATTGAATGGGTATGTAATATAATGGAGTAATTGATGACAACTGTGATGTTATAAATAAACTCGTATTATTTAATATTTAATTATGGAAAAAGGGTCAAATAACCCCCTCTACAATTACATATACATAATCTAAAACCATGTACTAAAAAACAATCAGATAAACTCATTTACTCTAAACAAAATATGCATTTGAGCCAAATCACCTGAAGATAACCTCTTATAGCAAGTTATAAGGCATCCTTTACTTTTTCTTTATTTGGGAAATTTGCACTTTTGGTCCCTCAAATAGTCACCATATTGAAATGTCAGACCCGTATTTATGAGTTTGTAAATGTCACTGCTCAATTATCCAAATTGCCGTAAATGTTGTCCTTTGAGGATTGAAATGTACAATGTGGCAAGAGTACATTTCACCCCTCAAAGGACCACATTTACATCAATTTGGAGTTTGGACAATTGAGGGGTGACATTTACAATATGAGAAATACATGTCTGACATTTCAATATGGTGACTATTTCAGGACTAAAAGTATGATTTTCCCTCTTTATTTTTTCGTTTTCTTATTTGGTTTTTTTCCCCACTCTTTTGTTCCCATACTACCTTCATTACTTTTCCGGCCATCTCGTAGGTATATATGAAGAGTTCCACCATCACGGATTCGGAGGCGAAGTGTGAGATACCTAGGGCTGGACTCGGTTCGGGCCGGGCCTAGGCCCGGTCGGGCCTCTGTTCCTATAAAGGGGGGCCCAGAACCGGCCCGTCCTTCGCCCGGTTCCGGTTCGTGTCGGGTCGGGTCACCCGCCGGGCCCCGGGCCGGGCCACCTGCCGGGTCGGGCCGGGCCTAGTTTAATTTTTTTTTATCTTTTTAATACAACTTAAATATGAAATACATTTTTCAAAAAATACTAATACAATAAATTCTAAGTTGGAAGTTGTAAGTTTGTGACCAATTAATTAATTTGAGAAGTGCTGCATATAAAAAAAAGAATGTATATTTATTTGAAATATGAAATACAACTTTACAAATTACAATAGAGAATTGAAGGAAAAATTAAAACATGAAATACATTTTATAATAAACTGTAAAATACTAATCAATCGGAATCTCCGGCATAGCAGCCACCCTCGGTTGTTGATTCATCCATAAAGTCTTGGGAGGGGGTGATGCTAACTTCTTGACATCTACGTATGGCCTTCAACCAATCGTGGTAGCATATAAGCGTCTCAAGAGACTCAGCGCTCAAACTTGTTCTAGATGCCGTTAGAACGTTGTCGGCCGAACTAAATTCTTGTTCCACAACAACTGTTGAAACCGGCATTGATAGCACTTGCTTAGCCAACCGTGCCAAAATCGGGAACATTCTTTCTTTTGACTTCCACCACTTTAGAATGTCAAACTTCTCATTTTCGTCAAATTCTACCTCATAATTAATATACAAAGAAATCTCATTAAGTGCGCTTTGTTCAGTAGTGTGAGTTGTTTTAGGTTTTTTCATAAGATTGCCAAAAGCATATTTAAAAAGTGATTTTCCTTTAGATGAAGATGTGTGTGTCGGGGGAGGGGACGCGTTGCCATATTGTGCACGAAACTCATTAAATAAGGCATAAAATAAATTACTAACCTCGTTGTATTCAACTTGCGGATCTATGTCGTTATCATCATACATTGGAAATGGAACAAAAAAAGCATTATAATAGAACTTCAAACATTCTTCCAAATTACCAAGTCTATAACGAGGATCGAGAATAAATGCAATACTATAAATATGCAGAATATGTGCATAATATTTTAAAAACTTTTCCTTCATAAAACCACAAAAATAACTCACGTAAGCGGCATTCTCAAATTCATTAAAAGCACCGTCGAGATTAACAACTTCACGAATAAATTCGTTTGAGGTAGGTTTATAAACATGACTAAAACTATCAGTTGCATTATTAAAATATATCAAAACATTACAAATTTTTTCGCAAGTGTCGATGTGAGCGGGGTTTGAAATATAGTTATCATATTGTCTTAAAAAAGCAGGAAAATGTTCTTTATATCTAAGAAGAACGTTAATTAATTTATAAGTACTATTCCACCGAATAGACAAATCTTTCAATCAAATAATTTTGCCATTTTAAGTTAAGTTGACCATTGCCCCAAATACGTCTAATCCCCGCCTTGACTAGAGGTGTAAAAAATGTATAGAAAATAGGAGTATAAATAGGTTTTTTTATCCCCACCCCCCCCTCCCACCCCCTCCAACGACTATAGAGCCGTTTGGGAGGTCTCCCAACGGCTAGAAGCCTTCCAATTATTTTTTAAAAAAAAATAGCCGTTAGGCCCGAACCGGGCCCGGCCAGGCCGGGCCGGTTCGCCATTTGAAGGGCCCGAGACCGAACCGCTACTCCACCGGGCCGGGTCGACCCGAACCCCCCCCCCCCCCCCCCTCCGGTTCCCGGGCCGGGCCAGTTCAAACAGTAACCGGGCCGGGCCGGTTCTGGGGCGGGCCGCCCGGCCTGAGTCCAGGCCTAGAGATACCTGGTTGCTCCAACCAACGAACCATGAGTTTTCCAGAGTTGACGTCCCGCATATTCGACATCAACCAGGTTTGTTGGTGTGAGGTGTCTGTTCTGCTCGTTGCTCTGCCCGTTGCTCTACTAAAATGGCCGCCGAACGACTAAAGGCCGGAAAGATGACGAACGAATTGTCCATGTCAACATGTAGCGGCTTTGAAATCCCTATCGCGTGCTTTCATGGAGTGTCCCTGTTGTCCTCCAACTACTGGAAAGATATTCGCCATTGAAGAGACGCCCCTGGTTTGCATTAGATTAGACATACTCCGTATAAACTAAAGAAAGAAAAGCAAAAAGAAAACAAGAAACTGCATTACGTGAAATATAGACTGCATGGGATAGTGCTGGACTCGGGCCGGGCGGCCCGACCCGGAACCGGCCCGGCCCGACCACTGTAGCAACCGGCCCGGCCCGGTGGCCCGGTCCACCGGCGGTTCGGGTCGAACCGGCCCGGTGGTTCCCGGTTCCGGGCCCGGGCCTTCCATATGGTGAACCGGCCCGGCCGGTTCGGGCCCGGTCCGGGCCGGATTTTAATTTTTTTTTTTTTTTTTTTTTTTGAAAAATTTTTTAAGTCTTGGGTTGGAATAGGTATTTTGGGCCATTTGAGGTGGTTTGGGGTGGTTTGGGGTTGAAGGGGAGGGGTAGGGGATTAAATAGGAGAACCAAAAAAAAATAAGTGGACCGGTTTGGCCCGGCCCGGCCCGGCCCGGTTAGGCCCGGAACCGGAACCGGCCACCGGCGGTTCGGGCTCGGGCCTCCCCTTTCCTGGCCCGAGGCCCGGCCGGGCCCAGGCCCGAACCGGGCCCGAGTCCAGCACTAGCATGGGATGGAGGAAAAATTTGCAAAACTTGCCGCTAGAAGATTGAGGCTTGGATAGGATGAAAATTTGCAGAAAGAATGAAGAAAAAGTAAGAGAATGAAAAAGAAAGAAAAGAAAAAAGGTCAAACATGCTTATAACCTGCTGGGAGGGGTTGCTTTCCAGTAAACTTGACCAAAGTGATTGTTTTTAGGAAGTAAATGTATTTAAGTGATACTTTTATTAGTAGATGGGTTAATGTGATAGATTCATGATAGTTAAATGGCTTACTTGAACTTTTTTTCTTTATTTATTAAATTGTCATTTTAAAGTGTTGATTACCCCACTTTTATGTTAATAAAAAAAATACAATTTCATCATTAAGATAGGATACGTAAACTAAAAAACGGTATATGCATCCATGTTCATGATCAGCACCGTACACAGTTAACCAACCACAACCAAAATAAAAGGCATGCACTGCCGGTACACAACACAGTGTGCAAATCTAACAGACAAATAGGCGCTCTAAGCGTTTCAATGGAAAATCTACTACGCTGCAGCCTTCGGAAAATGTTGTGCTAGCTGCTTGGCAATCTCAAGAAACCCGACTGTCTCCTTCCCACTGAATATAGTCTTCAGCTTCTCATCGCATCTTATCTCTTTCTTATTTGCAGGATTCTGGGTATAGCCAAGACACAATTATTAACACATAATCATAACAACACCATCTAGGCCTTCATCCTAAATGAGTTTGGAATCTGCTAATATGAATCGAGATATAATATGAGTCACAAACATTTGATAGAAAATTCTGGAGAATTACTAGTAAATAATTGAGTCAAATTTGAAAATGTTTTAATGTATCATTGAACAAAGAATTACAACTGTAACAAAGAATGCATAACAGAAAGAATTAAAACTGCAACACATGTATAACTAAGTTGTTCATTAGCTGTGTGGCGATCTCATCCAGTTTATCACAGCCTGCGCAAGATGCTTCCAGATTCGGAATCCTTCTCCAAGAAATAAAAGAGCTAACTAGTTCTTTACAGGAGGTACGATACAGCTCTATTAAAAGGGATAATAACCGTGTTGCACACAAACTAGCTAAACTGGCTAAGGATTGTTCTGAAGGAGGGCTCTTACGTCTTGAGGCACCGCAGCAGATCCTTTCTTTTCTCCAAGCAGATTGTAATTCCGAATTGTTTTATCAATAAACTTTCTTTTCCCGCAAAAAAGTTGTTCATTAGCTCTCTATTCAGCTCTGGTTTATTTCTAGTGACATTCCATCTTAGCTCTACATCTCACTACTTCCTCCGGGTGAAACCCTAGCATTTCCTCACCACCACCATAGCGTCCCACTCCGATTGAGACCACCCATTCCAATTGTCGACGTCTCGCATAGGCAAGCCCCAATATTCAGATCCTGATCTAAATATGATTGTGGGAAAACACAGAAGTTACATTTCCATCAAGATACCTAAAAAGCGATTAGATCTCTCACATGACCTTCGCCTTGGTAAATTTTGACAGGGAAGACCCTCTCTTGAACTTATCTACATGTTAATCATTAAATTTTCATGCTTTCACTGTCGCTTTACTTTATGAAAAACGAAATCATCTCTAACTTTACCAACAAGGAGGAATATGTTCGTTGCAGATCCCAAAATCCCTGGTATATCGGAAACAAACTGATGACCATCTCCAGCTGGTACCCAAGCTACCATCTGAATAGGGAATATTCCTTTGTTCCTATTTGGATCAGTCTCCCACACCTCCCTTTCCACTTGATTAATGAACACTTTCTTTTTTAACTATGTTCCACTTTGGGTCAACCTCTGAGATTTGATAGATCCACTATAGACAAGAAGCGCCCTTCAGGTTACTCGTGTCCAGGTGGAGATTGATCTCCTATAATATATCCTGATAGGATCTGGTTGGAGGATGAGGGTTACAACTTACAACCCTTTCTGGAAAAAAACATTAAGGTGGGAGAACACCTCCCCACCTACTTCAAAACTTGTTTCCACTTTGATCACCTTAACATTAACAGTAAAGCTCATGGGTCCTCTACCAAAACTACGAACTCAACGGCTCAACCAATCCAGCCGGCCCCAATGAATCTATCATTCATTCGATTACTAAGAGCATTGTTCAAGTTTCTGTTACATGTACTAGCACTAGTACAGGTGCCCTGAACAAAGCCATAGTTTACCAAAGAGCGAGTCTTGGCAGAGAAAGGACAAAGCCCCTATTGATAATATATCTTTTTGCTCCCATTCCTCTCCAGCAAATGATGACACCCCTCCCTCTTCAAAACTAAATTTAGATTAAGGCAACAAAGACATTGCCTTAATGCTGCCCAAAAGGCGCAACTCCAAATCCCCTCCTCAACCAAAAGAATCACTAGAAGCTCCAAAACCTACCATAATAAATCACAAACTCCCTCAGATAAGCAAATAACCCAATGATTAACACCCTCATTTGGAATGCTCGGGGTATCACCAATAATGATAACCGAGAGGACATATCTCCTTCAAAAAACCATTTTGTCTCCTTCATTGCAATTCATGAACCGATGGGCAATCCATCTCACATCTCATCACTCCAAAGGCTTCTTATTTTCAACACAGTCATGCTCATTGTCTTAATAAAATCTAGCTCTTTTGGAATGACACCCACTCCATCAAAATTCTGTTAGGATACCCTCAGTGCATTAGTTTTTTTTAAACGCTGAAGTTTTATTAGATAAGAATAGAGAGAATACAAATGCTTATGAAGGAAGAAAACTAGCAAAACAAGAAAAGAAAGCGCTAACGAAAATCACACCCAAGGAATTCCACGAATCAGCCAGCGATCAACTTTTTCAAATGCTCATCCCAAAGTTTTATCCTAGTTACCACCTGATGAAAAAGTCCAAGAATTCAAGTTAAACCATTGGTACAATCAAATTTTCGCCCATTAAGTTGCACGAAACCCAAATAGCTCTAGTGATGAACACATCAGTGCATTAGTTTTCTTGTCAATCATACTGTGTTTTCCTTTCCTTTTAATGTCTGTCACCTCTGTGATAAAACCCAAGGACAAAATCTCTAGGCCCACCTTACTACCTTCCAAAGAAGCCTGGGCAATCAACCTTGATTTCTTCGTGAGGATTTTAACACCATTAGAGACACTCTGAAATATAAAGGGTAAACCCAGTCCTAATAAACATTCTATAGAGGATTTCAATAACTTTATAAATGATAAAGATCTTTCCAATATTCCTTTAATTGGTGATAAATAGGCTTGGATGGGCAGAAGGAAAGGGGTATTGTTTTTAAAACTGGCAGAATCCTTATTAACTACTCGCTTCTGCAACAGAACCTCTCCTTTTCTTTTACCAGGCTGCCTTTTATCCTTCCTTATCACTCCCCTCTTATTTTTCATATTAAATCAATTAATAGCAACCAACCCCTCCCCTGTTCTAGTTTTAGATTTCAACACATGTGAATCCGATATAAGAATTTTGAAAATTTTGTGAAAAAACTCCTGAAATTCTCCCTGTAAAGGTTATGGCATATCCCCCTTTCCCTAAAAACTCAAATTGCTAGTTGGATTCCCCCCTCAAAGGTATTTCAACTGTAAACATCTATATTACTTGTAACGAGATAAACCACAACCCGGGGTTCCTCATTCCTTAACCACAATGGTTCTATGATCTCCCATTCATTCAATCTGCCACTTCGCTACATCGGCCCAAATTGCCCTAACTAACTCTACTCTCACAGCTTTACTTTTCTGCAGAGATAAGACAAACATCATGTCATCATCTCCACAGTGGAATTAAACGATATCAAAGTAGCTAACACCATCACTTTTCAATATGTTGACTATTGGGATCAATTTTTCCCAATCTCACACATCTTAAAAATCATGAAGGACAACATAGTAGAACTATGGATCATTGCCAAGTCTGTCAATAGCGCCGCCAAACACCTAAGTGGGGATTGTAACCCAAACTCGAACTAATGTGTTAACATTCCCAAGTTCGATGATAAATTTTTTTAAGATAAAGGGGAATCTTTTATTGAATTAAAGGGGAAATACAATGCGAGAAAAAAAAAAGGGAAAAACAGTACAGAAATGAAAAGTAAAAATCTAGGCCCATGGAAAGTTTTTGGATTGCGATCTAGTTCTCATGCTATGGCACCATTTATTCTTCTGATTTTTCCTGTAAATTTTGAGTTGTGTAATCAGGTTCTCAGTTGGCAGGCTGATGTCCGGTGTGATGAATTGGGATTTATAGCAAATTTATTTATTGAATTTAGAGTCCTAAATATCATCAGGCTAGGATATAGGAAGTCAACGGTCGCTTTAGATGTTACATGTTTCCCATGTATCACCCTTAAAAATCTCTCTTGCACTTCAGGCCAGGTCATATGGCTTCCTCTCTATCTTTTGGTGGTACCAATAAAACTAAATTTCCTTTTATGAAATATATACTCCCTCCGTCCCATTTATATTGTCCCGGAAGAGGGTGACACGGTTATTAAGAAAAGTGGGTTTGTGAGGTTGATATTAATTGATAAAGTAAGAATAAAGTAAGAATGATTTAGAGCCACACAAACTTTGCCAAATATGGTATGGGACAACATAAGTGGGACTTCCCGAAAAGGTAAAACGGGACAAAATAAATGGGACGGAGGGAGTATATATATATAACAAAATTGAAAAAGTGCTAGCTTGTGCTTAGTTTGGATCTTTTCAAAGCTGGGAACACTAAGGATCGCATTGGTTAGGGCTATTTGGCTGGTTAAATGGCTGAAATGACAGAATCTCTTGGATTACTGAAAGAAAAAGTGTTTAATTACATCCATCAAGACAAATAAGTAAATTGAAAGCTACTTATTCTGTTGATTGGCATAATAAGCCTAAGCTGGCTACCAAGTAGAGCCTAAGATTGGGCCGTCACCGGCATGGTTGGGAGATAAAAAAAGAAGAAGAACAATAAGATAATTACAAAACAACTCGGGTTCCCGCCCTAGGCAAGGAAGTATCTGTCGGTTCCATTGAGCGCACAAGAAGAATTATTCTTCAGAAGATTGATGATTGTATTCATTAATATGGCACCTCTGTTTATACTAGTCCCAAGAGTCTTGGTAATCTAGTTTAGAACCCTAAATCTATTGCAATACTTTTATTAGGAAATTAACTAAAATAGAATATCTCTACTAATAGAAAACTACAACTAATGATAACCATAGCAAATCAACACCTAATACTTTAGGAAACTAATAATAATAATAATGATAGTAATCATGAACTTCTTTCCATATCATTACTCCTCTCTTGAATTTCAAGCTTGTCCTCAAGCTTGAAGCAAATAAGTCATGCCAAGCAGTCTTTCCACGATCAAACGACATTATTATATGATCAATCATCACCATGTTGATTGTAGCCGCATCACTATGAGTAATGGCCCAATGTCCCAATACTTGGCCAAATTCATCAAAATTTTCTCTTGCTAGGAAGGTCCATATGATTTCTTTCAACTTGGTTGTGGGCAACAAATATGTAGGAGGGAAGGATGAAGGTGCCAACATGGGTGGTGTCAGCTTCACGGGTGACAGCAAGAATGCTGTTGACAATGATAGATTGGCTTGTCACCAACAAACTTGCTCTGTTGGCAGTGACATAATTGGTGGTGGTGTGGATAACAATGACTACTTATCCAACAACGGTTGTGGGAACAGTGGAGATGTTGACGACTGCACAGGAAAAAATTGACATTTTGGTGAAGCTTCCGACAATGACGCCATTGGGGCTGTTGTTAACGGAGATAAAGAATCATATTGTGAGTGTTGCCTTTGGTCAATAGCTTTTGCCAAACCGATTGCCACATCCACGCTGCCGGGATATTGAGTTATTGACATTCCAACGCAAGACGAAACCCATCTTGAAGTCCTGCTGCAAAGAAGTTCACTTGAGTTTGCGAAGGTAAGCCCTTTGCGGGTGCCAATCAACGCTGAAACTGGCTAATATACTCATCTAGAGTACCTATTTGCTGAAGTTGGGATAATTCATCTTCCGGTGACGGAACCATGTAACGTATTCACATAGAACAACTACCATGAATATTCTCCCCATAGAATTCCGGTTGCGAAGCGATTGCATCCTTGATGGAATTAAATATACCAAAGCATGTTGTTCCATCCCATTAGACTTCAAAACTTCAATATGTTGAACCGATTTGTCCGCAAAGTCACTATATAAATCATACTCATCAACGGGACAACGTAAATTAGAAACTGAGACACGTAAAATCCAAGCTTTTTCTGATTTTTTTTCTGTTTTTCTTTCTTTTCCGAACATTCTCCTTTTTTGGATCTTCTTCCAGACGAATAATAATGCAGAATTTTGCAAAATAAAAGCTAATACTCAACCTTACGTAAGGTGGGAGGAATACTTCAGCTTTTGGGTCCCTGCACTAGTGTGCTCCCTTTTTTTAAGAAAGAAAGAACGGACCTAACTTTAGGGATAATTAGCGGGTAGTCTTGGCGTGATGGCTTCTCGAAAAAAGCTCTCTGGAAGAGATCACTGATCTTCAACCCTACGGGATTTTATTTCCTTCTTATCCATACGCTTGAGTGCAGTTCACCCTTTTTTGTTAAAGAAAAAGAAAAATATCAAGCAGGAAGTAGATGGCTCTGATACCAAATTGTTCCAGACGTGAGGTAAAAAAAAAAAAGAACGATAAGTATGATAGTTGGAAAAACAACTCAGCTACCCATCTTAGGCAAGGAAGTGTTTGTCGGTTCCACCGAGCGCACAAGAAGATTGATGATTGTATTCATTAATATGGCATCTCTATTTATACTAGTCCCAAGAGTCTTGGTGGTGTAGTATTATAGTAACTCTAATTCTATTACAATACTTTTATTAAGAAATTAACTAAAATAGAATATCTCTACTTATAGGAAACTGCAACTAATAATAATCATAGGAAATTAACATCTAATACTTTAGGAAACTAATAATAATAATGAATAAGCGTAGTAGTATAATGAGCTTCTTCTTTCCATATCATGGGCACTGCTCAACTCGATTTCATGAGCCTGCCAAACTTGGAAGATTAGGACAAGACACCATTTTTTATCTAAAGACACTATTGGTACAATGTATAACATACAGCTCATGTGGCAAGGTATGGTGAGAATCAGCACAATTTTTTTCTCTTCCATATAAATAATGCTATTTCATTTTCATTTAATGGAGCCAAAGATTCATTATTTTTTGGCTTGAAAATATGATGGAATAAAGCAAAATGGCTCACTAAACTGTCTTCGCTTCTTTGTTATGAAGCAGCAGTCAGTCTATGCAATTTTGGACGCGATTTTCACTATGGGTCATCCGGAAATAGTCTCTCTGTGCTTTAGTACAGGGATAAGACTGCGTACATCCGACCCCCCCCTTAACCCACCGCAGGTGGGAGCCTTTGCAACACTGGGGTAAATGAAAATGATGAAAATGATAAATAATGCTATGGCAGATCCCGAATGGACAAAACCGCCACATGCACCAGCATAACCCAACATTCTTCACAAATTTCATATGGCAGTCTCATGTATTCACACCATCACCACATGCCATAGCACCGCCATTGGACAAGACTGTCAAAAACAAAGCCACAAGTGACATGTGTGGTTTTCAAGGCACTACAATGTTATACTCCCTCCATCCCTTATAAATTTACCATCATTACTTTGTTGGTTGTCCCAAAAACTTTGTCATTTTTCCTTTTAATCAATTAATTTGTGGTTTCTATTATTTCTATCTTCTCTGCATAAATCTCAACCACTCAATTCAAAATTCAGAACACTCAATTCAAAATTTTTATTATTCTCTGTGCTGGTCAAAGTCAGCAAAGTTTTGAAAGACGCAGGGAGTACATGTCTAGAACTGGAGATTTACTACACCATATTTTTGGGAGATTATGTAAATAAATAAAAACAAATTTTACAACAAGATCATAATTAATTCAAAACACTCAATTCAAAATTCAAATATACTGAATTTCTCTCCACATTAAGGCTCTTAGCATCTACTTTAGCTTCCACTGAGCTATCTGTGCATTTTCAGTTGATCCTTTTCTTTAGCTACACATCCGTTGTTACTTGTTAGAATGTCTCGCTAATGGTTCATTATCATTATTTATCTATGGGAAGCGAGGCAGCTACAGATTAAGCAACAAAGAACACCAAAAGAACATATTAAGCAGAATTAGAATACTGCTTATTGGTTGTAAAAATGTTTTATTCGTCATATTCCGTTGCATGATTCCAATTCTTTTATTTTGTATTTGAACTTTAACAGAAACAGAATAGCTCTTCTCCGTAGGGGTTTTATACTTACCAGAAGTTTCAAAAAAGCTAAACAGTGCTATGAATTTTTTCTATGCAAACAGAATCGTAAAACCCACACACGGAGAGAAGCATCCAACTATCCCAGAATACACTGAGAAAACTGAACAAATATATGCCCCAACTCATCAAACGCAGACTAATTATCAAAACAGACCATCGTTTCCATGAACATAATAATGCAAATACAAAGGAGAAAGATAAACCTGAAGATTTTGGGCCTTGATGTATTCCCATACTTTCTTCACGGCGTCAGTACGAGAGACCTCAGACGCGCCTATGAACTTCTCTAGAGCCGGAGAAACCTTGATCGGCTTCAGAATTCCGTTTGGACGGCCTCTAGATTTCACAGCAGACGTAGCGACTGAGGTAGGGGCAGTGGAGCTCTTTGCGGCGGCCATCAGAATCCGGCACCCCTTGCCGAAAATTCGAGTAGATGAAGCCATGCTTTCTTTTTTTGGTGTGAAGCAAAACCCTAGAAAAATAACCCGCAGACTTTCGGCTAAGGCGCCAAAGAAATGGTACTAGCTCCCTTCTTAAAAACTAGGTAGTACTTGTGTATAAAATATAGGGGTTATTGCGTAAGGGACTATTTTTTTTTTTTTTTTTTTTTTTTTTTTTTTTTTTTTTTTTTTTTTTTTTTTTTTTTTTTTTTTAAAACCCAGTGGCAAACCATCACAGGATGGGGTAAGGGCTGGGGAACACCTTACCATTTATTAAGGCTTAGAGGGAGCTAGAGACACGGTAGGAGGACTAGACCAAAGCCTACCCGGAAAAGAAATCTATATAATATAAGGAAAAGCAATAGCATCGAATTTGAGAATATTGCTGAATTTTTTGGATTGTACGTCAACTCCCATGCTAATTTCTTTCGCAGCGCAGTTGACCTTTTCGTTAACAAGACTGATCGTGATGTGGTTTTGATGCAAAATCCTTCTAATGCAAGAGATGATGAAAATTTGATCCCAATTTTGCACACAATGAAGATTAATGGCTTGGAAGACTTGGGCATTATCTATTTGGATGTTGGAGTAGTAGATCCTCCTGTCCCTGCAGAAAATGAGAAAGTCGTAGTATGCCTCTATGAAAGCCCTCACAGTGGAGGAGGAAAAAAGGTTGCTTTGGTGGTGAAAGATCATAACACCGTTGTGGTTCCTTATCAAAAAACCGAAACTATGTGAGAGCCCATTTTTGGTGTGGCCAATGTTAAGGGTTCTATGGTTATGCATTGGAGGATTCCAGGACACCACTTGGGGTCTACTTTTAGGGGCCTTATTAGGTCTTTTAGTGTCCTGGATGGAAAATATCTCCCGCCGAATGTTGTAAATGGCCTCAGAGTAGTTAGGGGAGGAATCATCATAAAGGGTGCTGTTTCTCAGCTTCCAAAGGTTCCAAAGAATGACAATATAGGTTATAAAGGATTTATGATGGGTCCAATTAAGTATGTTGTCCATTAAGTTGCCATCCAACCGATGACTCTTAATATTAAAGTAACTCCAAATTGGAGTGTGAGATGGGCAACTCAAAAAGAAATGGTTAATAGAGTCATGGTGGTTGCAATGAGGACACTTAAAAGGCCCATAAAACCCCATTTTCTGGAGCGAGTCAGCACACACAATAAGATTGTTAGTGACCCGCCAAAGGAAGAAAGAAATCTTCTTTGGAATCGGGTTCTTCCACAAAAGATCAAGATTTTTTATCTTGGGCCTTTTCTTCCTTATCTCATCATAGGCCGTCTTAAAGGAGAAATCACCATTAGGGGCGCGGGTCCAGTGAGTAGTGTCAGGTGTCTCTTCAAAGGAAGGACTGTTGTTAATAAGGGCCGTGCTAACGTGGTGAGGTAAGTCACCGACATGACTGTGAATATGCTCATAGGCCTCTCTAATAGTGATGGGATCATGGGGCTCATGGGACAGTCTGTAGAGAGGCCCAAAAGGACTCCAATTGGAATCCCAGAAGAGGCTGCATCCGTTATTGACCTGAATTCTAGTGTTGGCACTATATAAATTATACACAGAGACCATTGGAGGCCAGAAAACAGAAAGATTATAAGAACGTAAGGAATTGAAAATAATAGCCCAAATGCTGTTTCCATGGTCTTTTTTCCACCAGAGTTTCAAATAGAAGCTGTCCTGGATGTCCTGCAACCTGCGAAAACCCAAACCGTTCTCATTAAAGGGGTATGAGCAGTTAGCCCAAGACCTCCAACTAAAAGTGCTTGAGGAGTTAAGATCGTTTTGCCAAAGGAATTTAATGCAGCGTTTTTCAATGTCTTTAAGGACCCCTTTGGGGACCTTTGAGGAGGCCATAGTATAGAGGGGGAAGGTGGCCAGAACATGTTTGATCAATATTATTTTGCCGGCTTGGGAGAGAACTTTGTTCTTCCAGCTAGGAGTAAATAATAGCTAGGAGTAAAAATTTTATCTTCCCAAAATAGGAGTGATTAATCTCTCGATTCCAGATTTATCCTTATCATTTCACGCCCCCATATACTCCCTCCGTCCCTTATAACTTTGCCAACTTTCCTTTTTTGGATGTCCCATTAACTTTGTCACTTTCCCATTTAAGTAAAGAATTTGTGGTTCCAGTTAATTCTCTCTCCTCTGCACAAACCTCAACCACACAGTTTTTACTTTATTAATCCCCGTGCCGGTCAAACTTGGCAAAGTTATTAGGGACGGAGGGAGTAGATAGTATGTGTTTCGAAATAAACAATTTGGTGACGTGGGAAGTTAATGATGGCAACATCTTCCACAGCCTATGCCATTTCCCAGCGGCCAGCACTATCATTGTTCTTTACCAAAATAAAATGCCATATTTTTTTCTAAGAGTGCCACTTTGCATAAAAAATGTCATATTAATAGCATTTCCAAAGTAAAAAATGACATTTTTGAAGACTATTAATGACATTTTTATGGCATTTTTAAAACAAAAATTTCACATCTTTTAAAAACCAAATTTGAGGAAGAAGAACAATTGTCATTAGAAGGAGAATACAAAAAGTGAAACGACTGCAAATCGATTAGAAGATTTCAGAAACAAACAAAAATAGAAAAGATGTAAAAACAACAGCACAAATCCATTGTAGATCGAGGAAGACTTCAAGGGCTTGGCGGCGGCGACGCCAAACCAGATCCAGACGAAAAATCAAAAAAAAATTGCAGAAAAACAAATGTGCTCGGCGAAGAGACAGAGAGGAAGAGAAGATCACCGGCCGCCGCTCATAGCTTACTGCTGCGAATCGTCACTTTGCCGCCGTTCATCGCCGCTGCTTGCTTCCGTCTGCAGGTGCTTGCTCGTCGCCACCAAGCTTTCTGTTGCGCGTACTTGCAACCCGAATTGTTGAGTCGGTGAAATAGCACGATTAAAATTAATTGGAGGGGTAAAATTGGAATAGTGGTCCTATTTAAGGAATAAAAGATACTTACTCCTATTTAAGAATTTAAGCACCACTTTAGTCCTATTTAGGACAAAAAACTCTAAAATATAAATACCAAACTTTTTGAAAAGGTGTGAGACCTAAACATCATAAACTTGTATATGTTATTTAAATATCCCAAATTTTATGTAAAAGTTATTTTTGCACTATTGTCATTTATTATTTCTTCCAAAAATGTAAATTTATGGGGTTAATTGCATATTTTAAAATAGAAAATTACAAGTATTGAAATTATATAGATTGAGGTTAATATTATTTATTTAGCAATGGAAATTTAGAACGTTAATTGTATCTTCATGAAATCTAAAATATTTTAAATTATGCAATTAACACCATAAATTTACTTTTCTAAAAGAAATAATACTTGACTATGGTGCTAAAATAACTTTTTATATAAAGTTGGGTTATTTGGATTACATATGCAAGTTTGAAGTGTTCATCTCACACGCCTTCAAAGTTTGGGGTATTTCAATTATTTTCTCCTGATGCTCTGTTTTTATTACATTTGACTTTTTGAATTAAACTACTTCATCTATTCCGTAAAATTCTTCACGCTTTGATATTAATCAGAGTTTACGAAAGTAGAAATAAAGTGAAAATGTATGATAATGGTTGAAAAAGTGGTAAATAGATATTTGTCACACAAATTTTCCAAAAAAGGGATTTGGGGAAAAAATGGGACATCCCAAAATGGTAAGTGGAAAGAATTTTATAGGACATGAGTAACTTATTCATTCATTAATTTATTCATTAAATGATATCAAATTGTTTCCACTTTTGGTCTTACGAGTTTTATGTCATTTCCACATTTAGTCCACGTCTTTTAGTTTGTCCACTTTTGCTACTTGACTAATGTTTCTTGACCATTTGTTGTCCTTCTCCGGCGATTTTAACCACCAGAATTGTTGCCGGAAGGACCATGTATGGGCAAAAACACAATACTCATGTATCAAAAGTGGTCAAAGTAAAAAACGTAGACCAAATGTGGAAATGACATAAAAAAGACCCTTGAGGCAAACGGGTCTTCGTCCGTAATTAGCTGATGGGCTCCTCTAGCCCTCTGCTACTTTCTGATGTACGTCGTCGACCTTTTGTAGTAAAGCGGCGATGGCGGGGTCAGGATTTGTCGTGACTGATGCTCCGCTGGTGTGGCGCTATCGTGCATCCATATCAGCCAGGTATCTTTTAAGCTAGGCAATCACCGCGTCCTTCGGGTCCCTGCCCCTCGTTGCAACCCCTTGTTGGTGCGCTTGCACCCTTCCTTTGTGCGCCTGATTGATCATATGTCGCATATCCTCCTCGTGGAGCTTCTCTTTCCCTTTGTCTTGTGGTTGTCGATCTGCTATCCGGGACACTGACTCTTGGCAGTCCTGGGGGAGCGGGGCCTCTACTCATCATGACGGGCCTCTCGGACATCGACCGACATTGTCGGACAACTAGCCCGTTGAAGGCTGATGTGTATTTGCGCTCAAGTTGACTTGCGCGTGAGTTGTGTATGGAACAAATTGTACTGGTATATTAAATTTTGATGATGACATGTAATCAAGAATCTAGAGCACCCCTCTAATAGATAAAATGTACTGAGTAATTTCAATTTTAAAGTAATAGAGTTAGTCGACTGTCAGATTCGTGAGCAAGTCTTGACCAGAGACATAGACGCCCAAGTAAATCTGTAGGGAACCGATTTCACCTCTAGCAGAATCGGCTAATACCTGAGACGCCCAGACAAATTTGTAGAAAACATATTTTGCCTTTGGCAGATTCGGCAATAACAGAAAATGCCTCATGCAAATAGCTTAAGTCTTTAAACTGGTTCTGTTAAACTAACAGACAAAGCTTATGTGGAGGAGCCTCTTAATAGGAGAACATACAAAGAAGTATGTTGACAAGAACCTTGAAGCTGACACGACCAAGTCTACAAGACATGCATTTAATGAAGTTGTCATCCACACTCCAACAGGAAGACTACTACTAGTATATAAGATACACTTAGAAGAACGGTTGAACCACGAACTTTGAAAGACAACTAGAGAATTCTTGAGAGCAAACAACTACATACTCTACACAAGAATTCAAACGAGAATTTGAAAGATTTGCAACTCATATCT